GCTTGGCCTGCTGTGTTCATCCAGCTCTACACCTTGTTATCTCAGATCAACATAGCAACTGGCCACTAACAACAATCTTGTACAGAACGTTACAGCAGTATTTGCTGAAAGTCTCTTAGACTAGTGCCCAACAAAACACAGAATGTCACCATTCAAAATGTCAGACTTCTGTGTGGAATTAGAGTTTCTGCTGACCTGTGTGGTTTTTGTCAACTGTGAAAGTAATTTACTGAGCCCTGGGCCCAAATATCTAAAGGAGGGAAGTCAAACTCTGCCCTTCCCTACTCTTTCCCAATCTCTCCCTGCCACTCTATCTCCTCCTGGTCTGTCTTCTGCTGGGTCGTATCTGCAGTGAGGAGTTAAATTATCAGGAGGGGGCTTGTGGTGCTAGGAGAGATGGACAAAATTGAAGGCCAAGAGCCTGTAGGATGCACAATCCCATCAGAGGCTGGGTGAGAGGTGTGGCAACCTCTGCAAGGAGGTTTATTCTCGCCTCACATACATCCTCGGGTTTGCTTTCTGCTGAAATCAATGCAAGGTAATTGGTCCGATTAGGTTTGTCACACCTGGGAAACTCTGCAGACTCCAGCTGAGTTACATAACCAATCCCATTTTGGGCAGCATCCCTATGGAACAGGAGATTTGAGCACATGGACACGCTAGCATTAGGTCAACACAAATGAGAAGAGGAACTAAAAATAAACAAAGAACTATTTACACAACTTACATCGGCTTAAGGAATTCCTTTGTATTGGCCCTCCCTCCACCTCAGATTATCACATTCTTTTCTAATGAGAGCCCATTGGGTTGCTGCCCCTCACCATTGCCACCTGCTGGAGGTGATCCTGGAGAATTATTCAGCTCCCTTGCTCAGTGACCTCCCTCGCAGTTACACCAATACCAAACATTCATTTGAAGCCTTGATAAATCCTTCAAAAAAAAGACCAGACATCTCTGTATCCAACAAGCATACAAAATGTGAACTGCCGGTGTTGGTGCGGGAGTCGCCATTCTGCAATGTGTAAATCATTTAATTTATTGGTTGCCATGAGTGATCAGCTCTGTGTGGGGGTGTCTTAATCCTCTGTACACTGTTGTGGCAACATCCTGTATCACCTTGCTTGAACCCATGACTCAGAAGCTGAGTGTCACCTCAAACACGTATTTCTGTGATGGTTGAGAATGACATGCATTTATTAATTGGAAAATGGCAGTGATGCTCAGTGTTCACACTGATTTGTACACTGAGTATAAGCCTAACTTCAGCATCCGAAAACAGGCAATGACTTGTACACTAGAATTTATGATGTATACATGGTTGCAGGACATCATGTACGCTCTATACAACTCCTTGTTAATTTGTAGACACTCACAGAATCTCCAGGATATCGCCCATCTCCTCCTGGGATTGGCTGTCCATTCATACAGATGCACTGTTCAGCAGCTGCTCCCTGTGCAGCAGAAGGTCAAGGTTCAGCGACTGATCACATCATTATCTTAAAACACAGCACAGTGACAACAGGACAGGAGCAACAGTAAATATTACAGTGAGTGCCATCTGTAAACTGTCTCCATCAGACACTCCCAGGACAGGGACAGCATGGGGTCGGGTACAGAGTAAATCTCTGTCCAAACCAGATTATTCCAACACTTTTGCAAGAGGCATCTACATTTTGATTTCTATCTCATGGGGCTGGTGACTAAATTTCAAAAAGTTAAGGTTATTTGGCACAACAGTAAACATGAATTTCAGAAAAAAACAATTCTATAGGAATAAATTGATAAATTAATCGGAAATTTAAATAAAAACTGAAAGGTAGCAATCAGGTGAGCTAACTAATCAATTCCTCTTTTTAAACTAAGAAACAGGTCAAGTGATAGAAGGAGCCTCTGGTTGGAGTCATGACCAGCAGGGAATGGGATGGAAACAGGGCTGAGCTAAACAGTTTAGTTGATCTCAATTTGCTCCATGTGCTGGCCCTGACAGATTCACATGAAAATAGATGTCAGAATGAGTTGTCTTTCAGTCTGGGGTTTTCCTCATGCTCCAACCTGCTTTGTTGGTAGGTTTCTGGGGAGGAAGCTTGAGCAGGAGGCTAAGGGTGGGTTTGTGTCTGGCACACTCTCTTTTTGCCCAGTCACGTATGACTCTACTCTCTCCCTCTTCCATTTATTCTTCCCCATTCCCTTCTCCATTCACAAACGTATTCTCTCTCTCTCTCACACACACACACCCTCCATCTGTGCCTCCCTTGCTGACTGAAACACCCTGTGTGCCTACCCCCTCCCCCACCCCCTCGCTTGTGTACACCTCCTTCCCTGCACCTGCCTGGCAACAGCCCACCTCTTTCAGTCTCTGTCCCAGGCAGACTCAGTGCTGCCACCGTGTACAGACTGGAGGGTGAATAAACAGACTGACAATGTACATGGCTCCCTGTATTTGTTGCTGCTGTCGAGATGACCAGCAAACAGCCCCAAAGACTGGAGAAGGGTGTGGTCACGGGTAAGGAATGGCAAGTCCCATCAGAACTGCTGCCTGATACTGTCGGGGGCTTCACAGAAGCTAATCAAGGCCTCAGTTAATGGCCATTTAACTTGGTGCGTTATGGGCCCTTTTGGGATCCACGCAGTACGGAGCATATTCTTACTGGAGTATGGCTGTCTGACAGTACTGGGCATCTGCACTGCTCACTGAGGCCCAGTGAGTAACCCCAGTCCCTCTCCTGGGTGGCTTGAGCCTCCACCCAGAGATTCCTCCCACCACGCCGTCCTCTTACTCAGCATTGTAGCCCTGGGCAAGTGCCTTCAGTTTGAGTTAGTCTCAATGTTTCTTCCTTCACCATTTGGACACTGCTATGGGACCTCCCACTCCCACTTACCTGGTCCACTCACTGTCCTTACAAAGTCAGTGAACACAGAGGTGCCAGTTGGGAGACTGCCTCACATAAACTTGCTCTGGTGGGGAGTTGGGGGGCCGGGTAGGGGATGGGGTTGTGCTGGGCTGATGCACGGACTCAGGACCCATTTATAGTTCCAGCTGGAGCTACATCAAATTCAGGATCCCAACACCCCATTGAAGTGTAGGAAATCTGAGCAATGGGGCTGAATGGCCTCCAGATGGTTTGACAGTGTGGAGCTGGGGACAGAAGGGAGACAGATGCAAGGGGGCTGAATGGTCCACACTCTACACAACATTCTACTCCATGTAGTGATCCAAGGGCTGGTGGGATAGTCAATGTCAATGGAGGGAGACACAGTGCCAAAACAGAGCTTCTAGTGAACTGACCTGTATTAAACAACCATATTACCCGCAAAGTGCTGGCTCTCCCTTAGCCTGACATTCTCATTCACACAGGCTTACCTTTTCACCTTTAGTTCCTGGCACACCCTGGAAACAAATAAAACATGAAAGAAGTTAGCTCAGCCGATGGGAGAGTTCCAAAGCAGAGAACACTTGACTGTGATAAATAGATACTTATTGTGAGTGGGACATTTCACTGTCCACGGCAATCATCTTTTAATTAAACAGACAAATGCCTCCAAATGCTGGGCAGAAGGACATCAGAATTCACCTTGGAGCTCCTCTGATGTTTGAATTGACGATGACTGCTCTGCACCTCAACTTCATTAATTTGTCTTCACTCCAGACCCCTCATTAAACTTCTAGCCAGCTCAGTCCTGTAAGCTCTGAGTGCCCCCATGCATGCACAATGTTCTTCAGGAGAATGTTCCAGATTGCTCCTGTGCCTGTTGTGGAGAAGCACTTTCGGATTTCACCCCTGAACAGCCAGTATCCAATTTTGAGATTGTAACTCCTTGCTCTGGACTCCCCCCCCCCAGGGGAAATAGTTTCCTTCTAATCCTTTAACTAAGTTAACCATCTTGATCAGGTTACCCCTTACTCTTGATTCAGAGATAGTAGGAACTGCAGATGCTGGAGAATCTGAGATAACAAGGTGTAGAGCTGGATGAACACAGCAGGCCATCAAAGGAGCAGGAAAGTTAACGTTTCGGGTCGGGATTTTCTGAAGAAGGGTCCCAACCTCAAACATCAACTTTCCTGTTCCCCTGATGCTGGCTGGCCTGCCGTGTTCCTCCAGCTCCACACTATGTTATGCCTGGCACTGCACGCTAGCTTTATCAGGGATGGTTTCCAACGATCCCCCAATATTGGGGACCCTGAAGTACTAACTGTGTTTGATGTAATCCCGGAACATTGGTCAGGTGACTTTCCATTTCCATTCAACTCAAACCGAAATTCTTGCCACTCCCTGCCCAACACGTCAACCTTTGCAGACCATCGTCTTCAGTGTATTTTTTTAAAATAGTGTTTGGGGGTCTGTGGGTGTCACTGGTGAGGCCAGCATTTGTTGCACATTCCTAACTGCCCTTAAGTGGGCTGGTTTGTGAGCCTATTGCAGAGGGCAGTTACACATCAACTGTACTGCTGTGGATCTGAAGTCACAAGTAGGCCAGACTGAGTAAGGATGGTAGGTTGCACTTTAAATGGTTCCAAGAAGGCAGCTCATCATCATCGTCTTAAGGCCAATAAATGCTGACCCAGCCAGCCATGCCCACATCCCATGAATAAACAAAATGATTGCCTTGCCTGAACCAGATAATGATTCTTCCATGGTCATCATCACAGAGTCTAGCTTTCAGTTCCAGATTTAATGAAGTGAATTTAAATTCTACCAGCTGCTGTTGGAGAGATTTTACCCATGTAATAAAATGGGCATTCAGATTACCAGGCTTTTAACGTGTAGCCTTAACAAGCCATTTAAATGGCTAAAATTGTCATCTTCTAAATGCTTAAACAAAAGCGGTCTGTGATTTCAAATGTACCTGAAAAGTGAATGCAGTAATTCAGAGAGTTCAGAGAGCAACCAATCATCTGCTAATTGATGAAATCCAGAACAATGAAAACGATTTGAAATTTAGAATTCTGTCAATATTAATCTGCTAATTGTTACAGATTCAGTAAAGGTCACTGCCTGGGCCATTCTTGATTCCCGGTGAAAGATCCTGATGATGTCTCCAGGAACATTTGCAATAAGTTCACAACAGAACTATTCTGGATTGAAATGATGTAACTTACTATCTTTGACTGGATATGGCCTCCCATGTCCCATTGATGGTTCACTCTATCATTCACACCCTCTTTTGTTTACACTTGTGTAACACAATCCTGTGCTGAACTGGTGTCTGTCAGACAGTATATGTACACCAGACATAGAAACATAGAAACCAGACGCAGCAGTAGGCCACTCAGCCCTTTGAGTCTGCTCTCCAACTCAATACAATCATGTCAGATCCTTCAGCTCCATACCCTTCCCTCATGCATCATGTCTGTTTCCAGACAGTCAGAGCTGAAGAACTAGGCTACCACAGTATAAGTAAATGCAGTGAAATGCAGTAATAGATTTAACACACTTACTGGCAGGCCTCGTCTCCCTGGTAACCCAGTATCTCCGGTTTCTCCCTGTTTTCCCTGGAAAGTAGAAACAGCAGTCAGATTCCTGGATGCCAAGAGACCTTCCTATTGGTGACAATTCACCATATGATGATTCAAAGGGGTGACTTCTTTCTCTCACCCAGGGGTGCTAGGGTGAAGGGGCCTGGAACAATAGTGGGGAGCTGCATTGGGATGACTCCAATGTGCAGTCCCACAACCAAGGTGGATTTCCAAGGCCAGGCTGCTGAATGGAGCCAGGAAGCCCAAAGGAGTCTTCAGGCCCCTGAAGAGGAGCGAATTTCCACCCTTGCTAGCATTGGGCTAGTGACATCCCAGCCCAACCCTAAGCCATCTTCCATGGTGAAGATCTTGAAGCAGGGCTTTCACTCTGAGCTGGAGGGTCCCTCCCCCAAGAGAGAGAAGGCTGTGAGTATCAAAGGGCCCAATGCTGCAACACACATTCCTGCCTACTCTTCAATCTTTTATTATTAGTCTCCTGGAATGCCTCCATTTTGAGGAACTTTCATGTTCTCCAGTGGGTCTCCTCCAATGGGCTGCTGAGCCTCCTGGGCTCGGGGCTTCAAGGTGATCATTCCCAGGAACATCCCCGTGCCAGTTTCATTTCCAACAAGATGGGCTCAAGAGCACCATTCAGTCCTGGGCATGTAAGTGGCAGCGCAGAGTACAAAATCAGGGAGGTTGTAGTGATCCTGCATAGGACATTGCTTAGACCTCAGCTGGAGTACTGTGTCCAGTTCTGGGCATCACACTATGGGAAGGAGATGAATACATGGGAGACAATACAGAAGAGGTTTCCAAGAATGGTTCCAGGGATTTCTGTCATGTGGGTATATTGGAGAAGTCGGAACTGCTTTCTGGGAGAGGAGAAAGTTTAAGGGAGATTTGATAGAGGTTTTCAAGATCATCTAGTGTTTGGACAGAATGAATAGGGAGAAACTGTTTCCGTTCATAAATAGATTGAGAGCTAGAGGGTGCAGTTTTGCCAAAGGGTACGAAGTGAGAAATAACCTTCTCACACAGTGAGTAGTTCTGGTCCGGAATGTGGTGGGGCAGGTTCAACTGAGGTATTCCAGAGGGCACTGGATGTTTATTTAAATAGAAATAATGTCCAGGATTATGGGATAAAGCAGGAGTTTAACACTAAGTCAAAATGGTCAGACAGCCAGTGGAGATACAATGGGCTTAAAGGCTTCCTCCTGTGTTGTAACAATTTTGTGATTCTATGTCAGGGTCTTGGAGCCAATGGGAAAATGTGATCCTCTGCAGTCCTGTCTGTTACGACACGACACATAGCCATCCACATGTTTTTATTTTAAACGTAGGGAGAACATCGGCATTTTATCAGCCCTTCAGGCCGTGAGGTCCAGTGCTCTATCATCTCTGGTCTACTCCTCAACTAACCTCTAACCTTCTACCAATTCCTTTAACTCTCTTCTAATGGAAAGAGGTCCCCACTATCTGCTCCATTCTGGCCCCTCATCATTTTACACACCTCAATTAAATCTGCCCTCAAGCCTCATTCCAAGAGAAACAACACCAGCCAGTCCAATCTTCCCTCATCATTAAAATTCCCCAGACTTGCAAAATCCTCGTGAATCTTTCCCGTACCTTCTCTTAGAGTCACAGGGTCTTAGAGATCTACAGCACTAAAAAAGGTTCTTCATCCCATCAACACTGCACCTGTCAAATGCAACCACCTCACTATTCTAATCCCATTTTTGAGCACTTGGCCTATAGCCTTACATACTTCTGCTTTCAGAGCTCTGCTCCTTCCTCAGGCGTGGTGTGGAAGAGGAGACATATCGATCCAAATTGTCAGTATACCTCCTCTTCCACACTACACCTGAGGAAGGAGCAGAGCTCCAAAAGCTAGTGTTTTCCAAAAAACCTGTTGGACTATAACCTGGTGTCATGTGGTTTCTGACCTTGTCCACCCCAGTCCAACACCGGCACTTCCATATCTTGTATACTTTGGCATCATAAATGCACATCCAAACACTTCTTAAATGTTATGAGGGTTTCTGCCTCTACCACCCTTACAGGCAGTGAGTTCCAGATTCCCATCATGCTCTGGGTGAAAAAGCTTTCCTCACATCTCCTCTAAAACTTCTGTCCCTTACCTTCAATTGATGCCCCCAGTCATTCATCCCTCTATCAAGGGGAAAAGTTTCTACCCTATCTATGCCCCTCTTAATTTTATACATTGCAATCATGTCCCCTCTCGATCTCCTCTGCTCGAAGGAAAACAATCCCAGTCTCTCTTCGTAACTAAAACTCTCCAGCCCAGGCAATATCCTGGTAAATCTCGAGTGTTATTGCATCTCTCCTATAATGTGGATTCCAGAACAATACACAATAGTCTAGCTGCGTCTGAATCAGTATTTTATACAGTTCTAACATAATCTTCCTGCTGTCAAACTCTATGCCTCAGTTAATAAAGGCAAGTATACCATGTGAGATAACAAGATGTAGAGCTGGATGAACACAGCAGGTCAAGCAGCATCAGAGGAGCAGGAAAGCTGACATTTCAGGCCTAACCCCTTCTTCAGAAACCTGTATACCATGTGCTTTCTTAGCCACTTTAACCACCTGTCCTGATACTGTAGGGGACTGGTGTACATGCAAACCAAGGTCCCTCTGATCCTCGGTGCTTTCCAGGGTCCTACTGTTCATCATGTATTCCACTTCCTTGTCTGTCCTGCCCAACATCTTACATTTACCCAGATTGAATTCCATTTGCCATTGTTCAGCTCATCTGACCAGCCCGTCTATATCCTTCTGTAGTCTAAGGCTGCCCCTTGTGTCATCACATTCTTCTTATAATGTGGGGACTGTAAGTGGTATGTCTACTGCAGCCTAACTGGCATAACCTCTCTGCTCTTATACTCCAGCCCTTGGCCAATAATTAGCTTCTTGATCAGCCTATCTTCCCATCCAGTAATCCCTAGGGATCTGTGGATGTTGGGCTGGATTTTCCAGAGTTAGAGGTTTATTTGTTCAGGTAATTTTCCCACTAAATTTCACCATATTACTAAAGGCTGCCTTGTGGAGAGAATTCAACATTCTCTATCTTTTAATCGTGGAGCTTTGTGACATGGACTAGAGAGGCAGGTAAATGGCTGATGATGCTGGGAAAAGGGTGAAGTTAATGACACTTACCCGCGTCCCAGGTAGCCCCACACCAGGGGCTCCTGGGTGACCTGGGATCCCATGTTCTCCAGCTTGTCCCTACAACACAAGATAAAGGTAGAATTTTGATTTTTAAAGAATTGCTCACGTTTTCCTATTGTTCTTCTTCCAAAGTAACGTTGCTTTCTGGGTTTTAGGTAATTCACCTCCAAAACCCACGTGGACACTTCCATTGGTGATACCTTGTAGCCGTCAGTTTAATTGTTCATGAAGAATCATTGCTGGGAGTTTGAATGAGTGAGCCAGCTGCGTTGGCTGCTTCCCTTTAGTGGTTAACTGTGTGTCTTGTAGAATACACAGAGGTCAGTTAAGAGTCAGCCACACTAGTGCCAGACTAGAGTCACACACTGGCCAGACCAAGTAAGACCCACTACAAAACGAGTTGGGTTCTAACAATTCAACAGCATCATGGATATTATACAGATGCCAGCCTCATATTCCCAGATTCTTAAAGTTGAATGCAAATTCTCAAAACTGCCATCTCAGGATTTCATTTCTTGCTGTTTGGGTCACTGGTCCAGTATCTCAGGGTCACTCTCCCTGGTCTCTGAGGCCCTCACTTGCCTTTCAGAAAGCGGAGGAGGGGAGAATGACAGACTCAGTCCTCTGTGGGTTTACAGGGTGGAACTGGCCTACCCTGATCCCCTGCTGGGCAGTGCCATTGGTACCTCACCTGGTCTAGCCATTGAAACCATTCCATTGCTGCTGTCTGTATTAGTATCCCCGAACATGAGGTAATTGATTTGCACCAGGAGGGAGTATCTGCTTGACCAGTGGGGTTGCGGTAACATGATGAAGAACATCAAGGCAACGTTAAAAGTGATGAAACATGAGGCTGACAGGGAGGAATGGAAACAGGACAGCAAGTGGGAAACACTCACCTTGTTACCTTTTGGGCCAACAGCTCCTGGTAATCCTGGAATCCCTGCTGCACCCTGCAGGGAAACACAACCATCAGGTAGAAACATGGCAATGGGCACGAGCAAGCTGGAGAGTAGTCTTCCAAAGGCCCCACTGCTGATGGTACTCACAGTAAGGCAGGCAGATTGTGGGTGGTACAGATATCAAACCTGGTACCCCCTGCACACACTGGCACTGCTTCACTGCCAGCCCATCAATTGTCTTCGTCCAAACCCAAGCACTGAAGACAGGATTACTGAGACATAGCTAAATCGGTTTATGGGCGGACATTTATATGAACACACATAATAAATTGGGGCAGGAATAGGCCATTCAACCACTCAAGTCTGTCCTACTATCCAATTTTGGGGAATCTCGCTCAGTGTCTGATCATCAAAAGTCCAATATGGCTCTTCTTCAGAACTCTACTGAAGGGTCACTGGACACGAAACATTAACTCTGATTTTTCTTCATAGATGCTGCCAGAGTTTCTCCAGCAATTTCTGTTTATGACACAGAACAATTTAGTCAGATATAACCTGCCATCCCCATCAAACACTCCCTGGACAGATGAAGCAGAGGGTAAGATGTACAGTAAAGCTCCTTCTCCTCTTTCAGACTGGAGGTTAACCTCTCTCAATTCTTTTAAACTGAATGATAAGCTCTTCCTACTCTTTTAAAATGAAAGTTAAACTCTTTCTACATTGCCCCCATCAAACACTCCCAGGACAGAGACAGCAGGGGTTCAGATACAGAGTAAGGCTCACACTTCTCTTTCGAACTGAAATTAAACTAAAAGTAAAGCTCTTTCTACATTGACTTGATCAAACACTCCCAGGACAGGCACAGCACAGAGTTAGATACAAAGTAAAACTCCTGCTACAGTCACCCATCAAACACTCCCATGACAGGAATATCATGTGGTTCAATACAGAGTAAACTCCCAGTCCCCATTAATCATTCTTAGGAGGATACAGGTAGACTGGAACTATCTGAACAATAACTGTGTTTTTCAATTGTGAGTCCATACTGGTTGCCAATCATTGAACCTTGCAAGCTCCAGCAACTGAAGATTTATCTCCAGGACCTTTGCTTTGATTGTAAAATCCAGGAGGGACTGCACTGAGGTATTATAAAGAACTCAGTGTTTCTTTCCATGTTCTGTGAATGTTTGTAATATTTTTATCATTATTAGACATAAAAATGTACTTGGATAAAATGTTTTGATTGGGCTTAGGAATTTGGATGCAGAATGCCATGGTACAGAAGCTTCCGTAGTGATATGCCACATTGAGGTTGTAATTCAGGGTCAAGTCCCGGTGAAGCAACTTGTGCAAGTATCAGTGTAAACACTTCCAGCTCTGGGCAAGAACCCAAACCTTTCCAAAGCCCAGCATCACCACCAGCTGGCTGCTCTTTGATATTACAACCTTGCATTTCTGTATTTTTCTTGGCGATAAAGCGCAGACAGGAACACTGGAGCAGGCAGAGGCTATGGAGTCTCTGCCGAAACTTTTTAGTCATTCATAAGATCGCAGTCAATGTGCAACCCAGCTCTACTTTTCCCCTTTATTTTCCTTACTATCTTTGCTTCACAAAAACAATCATCAGTTTCAGTTACCCTTTGTGGAAGTGAGTTTGAAAAATTTATTGCTCCTTGTCAACAGAAGTTTTCCCGAAAAGATTTGGGATTAATTTTTTAGACTGTACTGTCTAGTCCGAGCCACCACATGCAGTGTAAGTAGTTTTTCTCCATCTATCTTAACATCTTGAACACATTGATCAAGTCACCATCTAAATTTTGAAATTCCAGGGAACACAATATGGTTTTGAAAGCCCTCCTTGTAACTGAACCTTTTGACCATGTGTATAGTTCTGGTACATCTGCTCCACTGACCACCCAAAGGTCAAGCTAATCTGTGAGGTCACATGCTCAGAAATCCCACTGAAACCTCCAGTAACTCTAACTGTCATCTAACCAGAGCTCTGCGTATTTATTTTTAAAATTTTAAAACTTGCATATTAGCAAGACCAGCATCCAAAGATGTCTGATGAACTCAATCAGGATCTTCAGACTTTATGGCATAATAGGACATTTTGTTGTCAAGGGGGATCTCTGTTCACATGCTGTTTGTTCGAACCGCAGCATTTTGTTTCACCTTCTCACTTTTCCTTGTCATTTCATCATTGTTGGGTCTCAAATTGCTGGGATCCCTCACACAGGCTGTGCCTGGCTTTTGTTGGGTCTGGGGTAATGGCCTCCCAGTAGTTCATCTCAATGTTGAACATCTTCATGTTAGGCTTTGAGCACATCATTGAAGCATTTCTTCTGTGCTTCTTTGGTGTGTTGCACATGTACAGAGAGGTATAAGAAAGGTTTACCTATCTGTTGTTACTTGCCATGTGACCAACATATCACAAGTTACATCTTTCTCCTGGGGATCTGGTTAGTGCTCCAGGTGGGAACAGGGGCTGGGAGTCTTGAACATTGTTCTGGGAACACGTAAGCCTTTAATATCTTGGCTGTGTTAAACACAAGTGCTGAGTGAAGATCTGTTTATTTTTCCCAGTGGGTTCAAATAAAGATTGAGAGTCACAGCTGGGGACTGTGTGTACCATTCAAATTTATGGGTTTCATGAATGTTAAACCAATAGTTTAAATTAAAATGGGGGGCTGTCTGGAACAGGTCAGTAGTCCTGTGGTTTAAATGGTCAAACATGAATTGGATTGAAACGATTCAGCGTCTGTGGAACATTTATAAAATGAATGGAAATGGATTATCACTGATGGTCCTGCATGATATCATTCAGCTGGTTCTCATGTGATGTTCATATCCTTCTGATTTTGAAACTTGCTTCAATAAGATCACTTTGAGAGTTTTCTAAAACTACACCTTCATCAATAATATTATACATTCTACATAAGTCTGAACCCTCGAAGCGTTTAAGTGTCGGAGTTTCTCTGGCACAGATGAGATAGTCTTTCAACAGATAATAAGATAAGGATCACAATTCACTCTCCCCGGTCCAAGAGCATCAGCCTATACTCCAACTATGGATGCTGATGAAACATTCCAAGGGTTTACTCACCGGATTTCCTGGCTTTCCCATCATGCCATCCTTTCCCTAAAAATAAACAAGGTCAAACTTAATTACTTTTGGAAGGTATTTTTCCTGAACCAGTGTGATTACCTCTATCCAAAACTTACAGAATTCATAAAATCTGACTGAATGTGACCCCGACTGATAGAGAGAGAGAGGACAGAAAGAAGAAAAGAGGGAGAGAGGGGTGGAATGGAGAATGAAAGTTACAGCAGGATGGAATGAGATGAGAGAGAAACACAGAGCAGAATCTTTCCAGGTCTTGCAGAGACAGACTGGGAGGTGTAACGAGACAGAATGCTGTCGCTAGTCAATGTAGTTTACTATTGATCCAACCAGGGGATAGTTAATGATTTGTTGCCAGGGTTTGTTGATGGTAGACAGGCCGCATGCTGTGTTAGAGCATGACATATGATTAGAGACTGTCACCAAGCAACAGACCAGAGGCTAATCATTAATCCTCACCGTCACACCAGCATGGAGTTGGCTGGATGAGAGGGCCACAGCTACAGCCACAATTGATATGTGGTTCCTCCTCTTGCTCCCACACCGTTAACTCCAATGATCAACACTTGGTCCCCTCCCATTTCTCACCTACAAGGTGCAATTGTCTGAAAGCACATAGATGCTGATGTCACCCAACTCTACCCCACCATCAACTCTCGATTCCTAAACTCTGCCTCGATTATTTCCTGAAGGAGAGTCGGACTGGACTCGAAATGTTAACTGTGTTTCTCCCTTCGTTGATGCTGCCAAATCTGCTGAGTTTCTCCTGCATTCTCTTTGATTGATTTGGATTTCCAGAATCCGCAGTGTTTTTCTCCCCCTCAGTCATTGGACTGCTTCCCTAACATCAAGTATAGGATGAGTGGAAATATCTTCAATTTGAATACTGGGAAACTGAAGGCATTGCTTATAGTCCCTGCAACAAACTCCACTATTGACAGTACCCTTGTGCTCAATGTCAGGCATTGGCTCAAAACCGGACAATGGTGAAATTTTAAAATTCTCATTGTTGTTTTAAAATCCCTCCACAGCCTCACTGGTAATCTATCACCCAATGTTTACCACTTGACCTTTGTCTTCAGTTGCCAAGGAAGTCTGTCCCTAACCCTCACTACCTCACTTTCATAGAAACATTGAAAATAGGAGCAGGAATAGGCCATTCAGTTCTTTGAGCCTGCTCTGCCATTCAATAGGATTGTAGCTGATCATCCAACCCTGTACCCTGTTCCCATTTTCTCCCAATACCCTTTGATCCTTGCAATTCTCGGAACTATAGCAAACCTTTTATTAACCAGTACCAATGGGACAAAGTGTGACAGCTGATCGAGACGTCCACATCATCGATATAAAAACACACACACACTAAAGTAATGCGGGGGCATACACATCACCGTTAAAGTGTAAATAATAATGTAAGGCAAAGTTGCATAAAACCTACCAGCAGAAAGCTTTCTGACTTGCACCTTCAACTGCCTACTCTGACGTTGCAGAGACTGCGATATTGCAGTAAACGTCCGGTATTTCAGGTATATAATTTTTGCCGGCTTATCAAGAGTGCTGATTCATAAGGTGCCAGTTAAAATGGAGTTTGCTGTACATCCAATTTCTTCTTGAAAACATTCAGTGTTTTGGCCTCAGTCACTTTCTGTGGCAGTGACTCAGTCCTCTCTGGATGAAGAAACATCTCACCATCTCAGTCCTAGATGGACTGTGGTCCTGGTTCTGGATTCCCCAGTCACGGGGAACATCCTTCCTGTGTTTACCCTGTCCAGTCCTGTTAGAATTTTATAGATTTCTATGAGATCCCCCTAATTCTTCTAAACTCTAGTGAATATAGTCCTCACCTCTCCTTTAAGATGCTCCTTAAAACGGGTTTGATTCGACCTTTGCTCACCTGATCCAATATCATCTTATTCACTGTCACATTTTGTTTATAAACACTTCTGTGAAGTGCCCTATGACATTTCATGATATTGGTGGGGGCACCATATAAATATTTACTCACCGGCACTCCGGGCAATCCTCTCCCTGGGGTACCTGCCTGGCCCTGTCAAACATCAGGGAATCAAACATTAGCACATTAATCACATGAAGCTGCAACAAGCAAACGACAGCATTAAGCTGGAGTGGAGAGATCTCACACATACCTTTTCACCCTTCATTCCAGGAGATCCCGTTAATCCCTGCAGTCCTGGTTCGCCCTGAGTAAACCCAGTATTAGCAAGTTATTAAAACGTCAGGTTTTTTGACACATACACGCACTTGTTTACTCTTAATGGTCTCCTTTATTTTCCTGAAGACACCAATGTTTGTTGTGACATTCCCAATGGATCTGAAGTCTTCTCCCATCCCCTTCCCTACCCATATTTGTATCTCACCCATTACTTCTTCACCAGGGGTGAGGCAGAGACAATTACATATTTACAGCTGCATATAAGTCAGGAGTGTGATGGAATACTCCCCACTTGCCTGGATGTGTCTAGCTCCAACAACACTCAAGAAGCTTGACGCCATTCAGGACAAAGCAGCCCGCTTGATTGGCACTACATCCACAAGCATCCACTCCCTCCACCACCAACGCTCAATAACAGCAGTGTGTACTATCTACAGGACATGCTGCAGAAATTCTTTAGCTATCTCTGCATCACAAACCAGCCATTCAAGTTCATGACCACTTCTATGTAGAAGGGCAAAGGACATGGGAACACCGCCACCTACAAGTTCCAATCCAAACCAATCACCACTCTGACTTGGGAATTTATCACCGTTTCTTCACTGTTGCTGGGTTAAAATCCTGGAGTTCCCTCCCTAATAGCATTTTGGGTCTACCAACAACACATTGACTGCAGTGGTTCAAGAAGGCAACCCACCACCAGCTTCTCAAGGGCAACTGGGGACAGGTAATAAATGCTGGTCTAGCCAGCATGAATGAATTAAAAAGAAACTCACAGAGTCACACAGAATTGGTGTGAACGTCAGGAGTCGGCTTGTCTGAACTTGGCCAGCTGACTCCATGGCAATTTCATTAGCCATCAGGCTCGTTTTTCCAGGTCAAAACTGTGTCACTTGAATCAGTGGACACTGCTGGGATTACAGTGAGTCATTGTAGAAAGTAAGTTCTAATGGAGCCTGGAACAAGGATGAGTCTGGTGCCACATGGCCCCAGCGAGAAGGACAAGAGGGCTGAGGAAGCTAAACTGGAGAGAATAGCTGGGGAGTGGGAAGATCTTGAGAGAGATATTTGATGGATACAAATTGCTCTTCAAGTAGGTACTAACCCTTGACTATCCACCAGCCCAACCAATGAGACCTGCTGGGCTGCATAGATGGTATGGACCTCTCTCACCAGAGGTTAAATCGCCATGCTGATTGAAGAAAGCCCGAATGTGGGTATTAATTAGTAGAATTATAGTGGAGGTGAGCCAGTTGGCATGAGAGGCACAGTGTATAATTTTACAATCCCCATTCTGCCTGGTAACTCACCCCAGGGAGGAATGTGTGATAACCATAAAATCAGGACAACCACACACACACCACCTTACAAATGTCCTCATGCACCTCAAATTACTGAAGCCAGTTTAGAGAAACTCTGAGACAATCCCACAAACGTAAAGTCACCATAGTTTTACTAGGCCATAGGGCTGCTCTCTCATTAGAGAGAGATGATCAATGGTGGTTTAATCTGAGGCGTCTTAGGCAAGGGAAGGTTGAGAAGGAGAGTACTCCATGGTAACCTTAGCCAGTGCAGGAATTGAACCCATGCTGTTGGCATCTCTCAGGTATCACAAGTGAGCCATCCAGCCACCTGAGCTAACTCACCACACAATACTGGCTCCAAGCTGATGTCTCCCCAGATCATTAGGGCACTTCATGTGGGACAAACAGCAGAAGCTTGGGGATTATGAAGCAAATTTATTGACTTTTTTCTCCTGGTGCGTTACTTTCTTCCTGAGGTCAGATGAGTTTGCAGTGAGCTACCCAGCACTGTGTCACTGAGACTCTGTGCCTGCTACTGGATGATTCTGTATTGCTATGGCACTGTTCCTGTTCCCAGGAAAACCACAGCTCAGCTCCTGGCCATCATCTTGGTAAGTCATGGCATTAATGATCTTCATATTGGCATCACTGTGTCTTTTGGGAATTATCATTAAATTAATTTTACTTTCTCCTTGGCTTTCTGGCTTTGCTTCACCCCATTCACAGACCAGCCTGTGGCCCTTTGAATTATCATAAAAGGGCAGGCTTTGCAGACCACTTGGTGCCACCTTTTGGCAGCAGTGAGATAGGTGAGTGATTCACCTGGACTGTGACTGGGCTACAATCCCACTGGACTGAAAAATGCAGAGGGTCATCAGCATTGCCCTGGTATCACGTAGGTAGAAACACATCAGGTACAAGAAACTATGGGTCAAAGGAAATGAGATCTGAGCCTGAGAAATAAAAGCAGGGGCTGAGGGAGAAATGGAGACTGTATATTTAGAGACACACAGCCCAGTGTTGTGCATAACACTAAGCTCTATAGAACCTATCCAGTGGCGTACTCTCTGTACACTTCAAGGGCTTGTTTTAGTGACTTGGCCTCACATGTATTCCAGGCTCTCCTGTCCCCGGTGGTCCAGGGTCTCCTGGAGGGCCTGGTTTCCCCGGAAGTCCGATTACATCTTTGAAGTCTTCTGGAATGGTGGGGCAAACGTCACACTGATCCCCCTGCACAAGAGAATAAGGCATTAGTCCAGACAATATTCATCACATTAAACCTGGCAAAATCATAACTCTCAATGGACAGGCTTGGGCAGATCACCAGATCGACAGAAACAGGATGAATAATGAGCCTGATGAATTATTGAAGGATTTTGATCAGACCACCCAACAATATTTGATGTTCAAGGGAACGTAATTCACATTATGAAACCAGCAAGTGTAATTTAATTTTTATAGCCCCAGTATTATTCGGATAAATCTGCTCTGGACTCTCTCCAGGTGAATATGTACTTTCTGAGGTGCGATGCCCAGGATCAGACAGTTTCTCTAAATGAGGTCTAAAACAGATCCGTCCCTGCCCCCCTCCTTTGTGCTGTGGCTCAGCTCTGGTAAGGGCCGATGATAATTTGCTGACTCACCTTTTCCCCTTTCAGCCCATGACGGCCCAGTGTCCCTGGGATCCCAGGAATACCCGGAATTCCTTTCTCACCCGGCTCTCCTCTGTCACCCTTTGGTCCTGGATCACCCTAAATGAACAGGATTACGTCGGTCAACGTAAAATTCAAATAAAATATGTGAATATACAGATTATACATTCAAGAAAGATAGACTTTTTTTAGATTCTAAAGGCATCAAATAGTAGGATTAGAAAGCAGGAATACGGCATTGAGATAGAGGATTAGCAATGATCACATAGTAAATGTGGGCTCGAAGGGTTGAAATGGCCTACTCTGGCTCCTTGTTTCTATGTTTACACACCCATTGAATTGGAATTTAACTCCAAAGTCCTCACTGTGTTGGTCACACCGTCAACAGCAGCCATTTACGTTTTTATTATTCCTGGGAGCCTAGAGAAAAGCTCTTTGCAGAGACATAACTAATATAAAAAGGTACACGTGTCTAGGATAGGAAAGTTCATCTCCTCTCCACCCAGTCAGGTATTTTTCCAGGGAGAGGTTGGAGCTGGAGAGCAAGATGCTATGGTTTGGGTGGGGAAGTTACTGGCCTTCACATTAATTTAATCACACAAGTCTGGCACACACAGGCATTTGTTGTTTTTTTTGCGATGAGGGCATTGCTGGATAGACAGCATTTATTGCTTACCTCTAATTGCCAAGAGGGTAATTACTGTGGGTCTGGAGTCGCATGTAGGCCAGACCATGTAAGAATTGCAGTTTCCCTCCCTAAAGGACATTAGTGAACCAGCTGGGTGTTTTCTCAACAATCGACAATGGATTCACGGTCATCATTAGACTCTTAATTCCAGATATTTTATTGAATTCAAATTCCACCATCTGCTGTGGCAGGATTTGAACCCAGGTCCCCAGAACATTATCTGGGTCTCTGGATAGCCACTAGGCCATTGCCTCCCCTTGGGGAAGCTGGATCTCTTCCAGAATTCCCAAACCATTGGGTAAACTGGGGTTCCACTGCTGGAAGGTGGTGAAGATACAGATCTATGTGTGCTTATTCCAAATATCAGGCTAAATGTGACTCGCTGGTTCCATCTCACGACGTATTATTGACAGTGTAACCGATTATAACAGGATAGTTATAATAAAGGGTTACAAGGTGGAAGAGCTGAGCGATTTGTCTGGGGTCCCACGACATTCAAATCCTAAACACAAAGAAATTTACACACCACACAAGGTTTGGACCATCTTCAATCTGAGGAGTGGAATCACCTCTCCTTACCATCATAACCACCAGCAATATATCCTGTGGTTCCATTGACCACAAACTGAAGTGGATCAGCAACATTGTGCAGTGTCAACTAGACAGGTCAGAAACTGGGAACTCTCATCTCCTGACATCCCAAACCCTCTCCACTATCTGCAATGCAAAAATTCAGGAATGTGATGGGATACTTTCCATTTAGGATCAGGGCAACTCCAAAAATATTGAAAAGGTAAAGAAGTGACAGTGACAACATGGTTCTAAAATTGGCTGAACGATAGGAAACAGAGTCATGGTCAATGGATATTTTCCAGGCTGGAGGAAGGTTTGCAGTTGAGGTCCCTAGGGGTCGGCATCGGGACCTTTTACATTATACATAATAATGATCTGGATCTTGGTGTGCAGGAGACAATCTCCAAGTTTGCAGATGACACTAAACTTGGAAGAATTGCAACCAGTGAGGAACTCCAAAAGAACATCACAAAATTGGTGGAGTGGGCAGATAGGTGGCAGATGAATTTCAGTGAAGTGAAATGGGAGGTGATGTACTTTGGCAGGAAGAACATTGAAAGACAATATAGAGGGTAAAATTCCAAAGGGGGTGCAGGAGGAGAGGGACCTGGGCCATTTTGTGCACAGATCATTGAAGGTGACAGGACAGATGGAGAGAGCAGTTAATCAGATATATACTGTACTCAGCTTTATCAATAGAGACAGAGAGTAATAGAGCAAGGAGGTGATGGTGAACCTATACAAGATGCTTGTTAGACATTAGCTGGAGTAGTGTGTCTGGTTGTGGGTGCCACATTATAGGAAGGATGTGAATACACTGGAGGGAGTGTAGAAGCAATTTACTGGAAAAGTTCTAGAATGAGAAACTTCAGTTACAAGGATGTATTGAAGAGGTTGAGACTGCTCTCCTTGGAAAGAAGCCTGAGAGAAGATTTGATAGCGGTTTTCAAAATTATGAATGAGCTGGATAGAGTAGATAGACTAAAGCCATTCCCTATTGTACAAGAAACAAGAACAAGAGGGCACAGCCTTAAGTGATGTGCAAATGAAGCATGGTTGACTTGAGAAAAAGGGAGAAGGCAGTTTCAATTGAGGCATTTAAGAAGCATTGGATAATTATTCGGATAGATATGGTGTTCAGAGATTTGGGGAAAAGGCAGGAGATTTGCACAGGGTATGAGAAGCAATGCAGGCATGATGGGCTGAAAGGCCTCCTTCTGCACTACAATAATTCTGTGGCTCTGATTCAAGAAGTTCAATACCATCCAGGACAAAGCAGTCTGCTTTAAACATTCACTCTCTCAACCAACAATCCTGGAACTTCATCTCGAACAAATACTGCAGTTCTTAAGTAGGCAGCTCACAACTAGAGATGGGCATTGAAGGCTGGCCCAGCCGGCAATGCCCACATCCCATGAATAATTAAAAAAAAGGGCTATAAATCTTGAAGTAGGAGGAGAATTATATAGACTAAGTTTGTACTTTCTGGAATTTGAAACTGAAGGAATGATCCAATTGAAGCATTTAAATGATGCATTTAAAATGGTTAAAGGAATTATCAGAATAGATCACGGCACTGGAGTATCGGACACTAAACTAGTAACCCGGGCCCTAGATTAACATTCTGGAGATAAATCCCATTGTGGCAACTTGTGGGATTTGAATTTATTTAACAAATCTTCACTAATAGTGACCCTGTAACCACTGTCAATGGTTGGAAAATCCACCTGGTTCCTTTAGGGAAGGAAACCTGCCATCCCTACCTGGCCTGGCCTACATATGACTCCATGTCACAATAACACAGCTGACTCTTAACTGCCCTCGGAGCAATTAAGGATGGTCAATAAATGCTGGCCTAGCCTTCTGAAATAACCTAGCAAGACAGCCAATTATGTCTAATCACTACAACACCTAAAAAAATACACAAAACCAGACTGAGCATATGGAATTGGCGCAAGGACAGCAAACCCAACCCCATGGGCCATCAGTAGTAACAGAATTATATTCCAGCACAATCTGTAACCTCATGGCCCGACATATCCCTCACTCAACCATTCCCATCAAGCCAGGGGATCAACCCTGGTTCAATGAAAATTGCAGGAGGGCATGCCAGGAGCAGCACCAGGTAATACCTGAAGATGAGGTATCAACCTGGTGTAGCCACCAAACAGGACTACTTGCACGCCTAACAGCGAAAGCAGCAAGTAATAGACAGAGCTAAGCGATCCCACAACCAACAGATCAGATCTAAGCTCAGCAATCTTGCCACATCCAGTCGTGAATAGTGGGGAACAATTAAACAACTCACTGGAGGAGGAGGCTCCACAAATATCCCCATCCTCAATGATGGAAGAGCCCAGCACATCAGTGTGAAAGATAAGGCTAAAGCATTCACAGCAATCTTCAGTCAGAAATGCCAAGTGGATGATCCATCTCGGCCTCCTCCAGTGGTCCCCAGCGTCACAGATACCAGTCTTCAGCCAATTCAATTCACTCCACGTGATATCAAGAAATTGTTACAAGCACTGGATACTGCAAAGACTACAGGTCATGACAACATTCCAGCAATAGGACTGAAGACTTGTGCTCCAGAACATGTTGTGCCCCTAGCCAAGAAGTTCTAGTACAGTTACAACACTGGTATCCACTCGACCATGCGCAAAATTTTATGTCCTGTACACAAAAACAGGACAAATCTATCCCACTGATTACCACCTCAGTCTACTCTCAATTATCAGTGAAGTGATGGAAGGTGTCATTAACAGTGCTAACATCTGCTTAGCAGGTGATCATCTGCTCAGTGGCACCCCCCAGTTTTTGTTCGGCCAGGACCACTCAGCTGCTCACCTCATTAAAGTTTTGCTTTGTGCATGGAGATCAGAGTTGAATTCCAGAAGTGAGGTAGGAGTGACAGCCCTTGACATTCGACTGAGTGTGACATCAAGGAGCTCCAGGAAAACTGGAATCAGTGGGAAATGGGGGCAAACTCTCTGCTGGTTGGAATTATACCTTGCACAAACGAATGTGGTTTTGGTTGTTGGAGATCAGTCACCTCAGTTCCAGGACATCTCTGGTCCTCAGGGACAACGTTTTTAATCAACCTGTCCAGACTTGTTACAACACACCTCCAGAGCTGGTGGTAGTTGAAGTCACAGACTTCCATTTCCTCAGGGTGGTGCCCTTAATCCATCTTCAGTTATTTCCTCCATCATAAGGGTGGATGTTTGTTGATGACTGCACAATGCTCAGAATAATTTGTGACTCCTCAGGTACTGAAACAATCTGTGTCCACATACCGCAGGACCTGGATAACATTCGGGCTTGTGCACTAAATGGCAAGTAACATTCATGCAGCACAAATGCCAAGCAATGACCATCTCCAGCAAGAGAGAATCTAACCTTAGCTTCTTCAGATTCAATTACCATCATTGAATCCCTCACTATCAATATCCCGGGTGAGGGTTGGAGGGGGTTATGCCCTGTTGACCAGAAACTGACTCACTACATAAACACAGTGGCTATATGATCAAGTCACAGATTAGCAATTCTATCATGAGTAACTCACCTCCTGACTCCCCAGGCTGCAAGACACGAGTCAGGGGTGTGGTAGAGTACTCGCCATTTGCCTGGATGAGTGCAGCTCCAACAACAACTCCAGCCCATTTGATCATGACCCATCCACTACCTTCAACACTGACTCCCTCCACCACTAGGGCACAGTCGCAGCATTGTGTATGTCTACTTTATAATTATTTTTGTATCTATCCATTAGCTCTTAGATGATCTTTGTAACCGTCCTCCCAAACCGCTCCACAGTTCCTAGTATCTTAATATCTGACAGTATTTTTTGAGGAGGTGACAAAGGTGATCAATGAGGGTAGAGCAGTGGACGTTTCTAGGTGGATTTTAGACAGGCTTTTGACAAGGTCCCTCATGGTAGGCTCATCCAGAAGATTAAGATGATTTGGCCACGTGGATTCAGAATTGGCTTGCCCATAGAAGGCAGAGGGAAGTGGTGGCAGAGTATTTCTCTGGCTGGACGTCCATGACTAGTAGTGTTCCGCAGAGATCCGTACTGAGACCTCTGCTGTTTGTGATATATATAAATGACATAGATGTAAATGTAGATGTGTGGGTTAGTAAGTTTGCAGATGATACAAAGGTCGATGGAGCTGAGGATAATGTAGAAGGTTGTCGAAGGATTCAGCGAGATATAGATCAGTTACAGATATGGACAGAGAAATGGCGGATGGAGTTTAATCCGGGTAAGTGTGAGATAGAACATAGAACATAGAACATTACAGCGCAGTACAGGCCCTTTGGCCCTCGATGTTGCGCCGACCTGTCCAACCAACCTGAAGCCCATCTAACCTACACTATGCTGCACTTTGGGAGATCACGTGCTAAGGAAAACTATACAGTTAATGGCAGGACCCTGAACAGCATTGATGTACAGAGGGATCTTGGAGCTTCAAGTCCATAACTCCCTGAAAGTAGCCATGCAAGTAGATAGGGTGGTAAAGAAGGCATATGGCATGTTTGCCTTTAATGGTCCAGGAATTGAGTACAAGAGTCAGGATGTCATGTTGCAGCTTTACAAGACTTTGGTTAGTCCACATTTAGAGTATTACGTTCAATTCTGGTCCCCACATTACAGGAAGGATGTGGAGGCTTTGATGAGGGTGCAGAAGAGGGTGCCTGGATTAGAGGGTATGAGCTATAAGGAAAGGTTAGAAATACTTGGGTTGTTTCCTCTGGAGCAGCAAAGGCTGAGGGGAGACTTGATAGAAGTCTGTAAAATGATGTGATTGATAGATAGGGTTGATCTTCTGAGTCTTTGTCCCAAAGTTTAAATGTATATTACTAAACATACTAAACATGTATTTAATGAGAGAGGGGGAAAGTTCAAAGGAGACGTGAGGGGAATGTATTTACACAGAGTGTGATAGGAGTTTGGAACACACTGTCAGGGATGATGGTAGAGGCAGATACAACAGGTGCATTTAAGAGACTTTTGGATAAGCACATGAACATGCAAGGAACAGAGGGATATGGACAAAGGGCAGGCTGAAGGGATTAGTTTCATTTGGCGTCATGTGCAGTACAACATTGTGGGCGGAAGGGTCCATTCCTATGCTGTACAGTTCTATGTTCTAATCTGCCTTTCCCAGGTCTTAAGTCAAATCAGATTTCACTCATCCTCCTGCGAGATGGACATCACTGTTCCATCCATCAGGGATCACACGCTTCCCCAGACTAATGACCTGTTGCTGATATTTAGTTACAGTGCAGTTAAATCTGACTGCAGTTCTGCAACAACAAAATGGTATTTTACCTACACATGAAGGAGGGAGGAGTACGGTAAACTCCCGAATACCCTGATCGCACAGGAAATGAGGAGGGGTGCTGGTTATACGAATGTGCTGATTGAGGCCAGGGCTGCTCTTAAATATCAGGGACTTTTGATCAAAAGGAGAGAGAGAGGTGACTGCACAATAAGTTCCCAGAGCGGGGAAACCTATTTCTGTTGATTGCTGGTTGTATGAGAGCTTGGGATAATGGGGACCTCATGTGATCTCGAATTCACAACAACCTTGTGCAAACCAGGGGCAGAGTCACCTTCTTGGATCATGGAGACAATAAACCATGATTTCCCAGTGATGTTCCTGGAGTCACGAGTACATTCCTCACCACCCAAAGGGCCCAGGTCAATGCTCTAGAGACATGGTTTCGAATCCCACCATGGCAAATGATTAAATATACAATAAATAATAAAAAAAATCTGGAACTAAAAATGAGTCCAATGGTGATTATGTAATCACTACTGACTCTCATAAAAACTCACCTGGTCCTTTAGGGAAGGAAATCTGCCGTTTTTACCTGGTCTGGCCTACATGTGACTCCAGACCCACTGTAATGTGTGGTTGACTATTAAATGGCCCAGCAGCCATTCAATTCAAGGGTAATTAGAGATGGGCAATAAATGTTAACCCAGTCAGGGACACTCTCATTCCATGAGTGAATTAAAAAAGGTCAGAAAGATGTTAATTGTTCCAATTGCACAGATTTGATGGAATCGTTCCCAATCTCAGACGATGATGGACGCACAGACAGCATTGTTCACCTTGCCAGAATTCCTCACCTTGATTCCAGGCTGGATAAGGTGTGCAGGTTGTTTTTCGAACTGACTCCCGTTTCCATCATCTGGGGCGCTTACTTTAAGGTGAGCCACTTGAGCAGTTGGGCAGAGCCCACATCCATCGCCCTGGATCATAAACAGAAAGACAATGCTGTCAGTGCCCGACACCACAGCAGTACCGGTCCCCACGCACGCACAGCCACCCAGAATTCACTCACAAACTCATTCACTGATGGTACTGTGGGTTCATTGCTTTATGGCTATGGATATGCAGCTTCTAATATACCATTCTACTTAAATCCTTCGTTTTACCTATCTCCCTCACTGCCATTCCTGCTTCCTCGCTCGCTTCATCCCGTGATGCCTCCCCCTCTGCCGTCTACCTCACTGGCCCCTGCTCCCGCCTCCCTCCTCACTGCCCCCCCCTCCGTTGCTGCCACCTTCCTCACTGCCCCCAGCCCCCCCTCACTGCCCGCCACTGGCATTTATGGGGGCCATTTACCAGTTACACTGACAGAAACAGATGGTCAGACCTCTGTTTCTCCAGATGGTTTCATTATGAAAGCTTGGCTGATCTCCAAGATGTACTCAGTCAAGCAGGATGTATCATAGAATCCTTACAGTGTGGAAACAGGCCATTCGGCCCAACAAGTCCACACCGCCCCTCCAAAGAGCATCCCGCCCAGACCCATTTCCCTACATTTCCCATGTCTAACCCACCTAACCTAAACATCCCTGGGCACTATGGGAAATTTAGCATGGCCAATCCACCCTAACCTGCACATCTTTGGACTGTGGGAGGAAACCAGAGCACACGGAGGAAACCCACGCAGACACGGGGAGAATGTGCAAACTCCACACAGACAGTCGCCCGAGGCTGGAATCGAACCCGGGTCCCTGGCGCTGTGAGGCAGCAGTGCTAACGACTGAGCTACCATGCTGTTCCTTTTTTTGATGGAATTGCTCCCGTATCTTTCTCAGCTTGAGGGGCAGTATTACCCTGTGACTGACTGACATCTTTACAAGGTTAGAAGTTAAAAGTTAATTTTCTTTGATATGTTTTTCAATATTATTTGGGGAAGACTGAGGAGGATGAAGTCAAGAAAAGCTACTCAATCAATACCATGAATGGTTGTGCCAGACTTACATTTTTAAACAGTTGTTAAGAGCTGTTTCTTTTTAAGGGGAGTTTGGACTGGCCCTTTTTATCATGAGCATTTCAGGACTTGGCCCAGTCACTACACAGCTGTTGATGATATACACAGTACATACTGGGTATGTGGGTAAAATGGGAGTGATGGAAGGCGTAGAGAAGGGGCATAGGGCAAGGGAGCTGTGAAAGGGAGTGGTATCCAAATACAATATTGGGTGGTCTTTATGTGGTGTTGTGGCTACCCCTATCCCACACACCCATGCCCCCAGTGAAGAGTTGAGAGGGAGCCTGCCCATGATCGCGATGGCTGCCCTACAGAAATCAAACACCAGGAGCAGCACTGATGGCCTTACGGCAAACTGTCCACCCACCGTCTCAGGAGGAAGTCCGCCTTAGAGATCTATCAGCCAATAGGAAGGCTGGCAGTCCCCACCGTACTGGCTGGGACACAGCGATCAGCTCTGAGACTGCAAGCAATCCCACTGTGCAAAAGGAGCCAGCTAAGTAAGTTTCTGGAGCTGTGGGTGGATCTGCACAAGGATGTGTGGGCCATAATTCAAAAGGATAGGTATGCTGTTGTGGTGCTCACCACATGACAAGCTCTCTCCCTACCACCAGGTTAATATCAGCAGTGGCAGGATGGGGCCTTGGGAGTGGGCAATTTCTCAACTGGAGACAAGGCCATCCATGGGCTTTTGTAACCCAGGCTTAACCAGAGCAGAAGGGGGAAAGCAGGGAGGGTTTCTCAACAGCACCTTCCCTCCTCATTAAGTACACAGCCCCACCCTCACTCCCAAACTCACCATGGCAGGGGAGTTTAACTAACTCCACAGAGGCTGGTATCCTGTCACCAAGTTACCCTTTATTTACACAAGGAAAGTTCTTGCCACTGGTTCAGTTCTCTCAGGACCAACTTTCAGAGTGAACAGGGATGTCTGGCACTCCTGTTCTTCTCTGTCAGCCAGGGCTCCCTGATTGGACCAGGCTAACAGTCCCAATCAGGGAACTCATATTCTATGGATCCAGCTGGCTGACCTTGTTACAATCACTCCAGGGTTAAGTGTACAAGATACTTCCCATCACTTCAGAATGTAAAGTAACAGTCAATGAAACACATTTAAGGTGTTGTGACGTAGGGAATCACAGCAACCAATCACATGCAGCAATGGTAATGAGTTAAATGACTAGACAATCTTTTGTATTAATGGTGGCTTGGAGATTAACGTTAGCTGGGAACCAGGGAGATTTCCCCTCCTATCAGATATGGTCATGGCATTTTGTATGTCCTCCTTACTCATCAGATGGGTTTAATGTTTCATTCCAAAGTGGGAATCTCCAACATTCTCTCAAAAGTGCACTGCAGCATCAGCTTGAATTCTGTCCTCAGGGCTCCAGAGCGAACAGGACCTTCCCACCAGTCATGTCTGTTACCAACAGATGGCAGCAGAACAAAGCAGGAATCAGACTGAAACAAAATATAATTCTTCATAACACAAACCTTCTCTCCTTTGGGTCCTGGAGCTCCTGTGATCCCTCGATCTCCCTGATCACCCTTAAAAACAGAGAGTGCTGATGAAGTACTCATTCTCCAATGCCACACAGGGATAGATTTGAAAAAGGAGAAAAGCTGTTAGCTAAAAAAAAAGCCCATTACTTTTCACCCTCTCTGTCACAAAGTTGTAACTTTGACTGGATCATAGTTCCACAGGTAATGGATTCACCCAGGAACCAGTCTTCAGTCTAAGTTGAAAACCCACTTGTCAATGAGGGTTTTAATTCAACCTGTATCTGCTGATCCTTGAGATTCCAGTTGTCAGTGATCAGGGGTTAAGTAGAATGGAGACCATAGGTCAGAAAACATGCTCAATTTTATTAAAAAAATACATTTCAGTGCTCAATGCTTTACTCTTAAGAGAATATGGGATCTTGGCTTGCATGGAGGTATAGTGTACAAAAGCAGGGATGTTATGTTGAGTCTTTACAAAGCCCTGGTTAGGCTACAGCCCACATCCTGTTCTGATTGAGATTATGCAGAGGAGGTTTCCCAAATGGTTTCAGTGATTGAGAGTTTTTAGCTCCTAAGTTAGGGTGGAGGAGCTGATGGGGCTGTTCTCAATGGAAATAAGAGGATTCAGAACAGATTTGAAAGAGGTGTTCAAGATCTCGACAGATCCAAATAAGGAAGACGAAGGAAAGTTCTTCCCGATTGTTGATGGTACAATTGCTAAGGGAGACAGATTTAAGGATGTTGGCTGATGGGTGCGCACGTGCGTGTGTGTGTGTGGGCATGTGGGGAGGGGCTGCTGGGAGGGGGCTTATGAAACAAGTAGTGATGACCTGGAACTCACTACACACAAGGACAATGGAAGAACAGATGGATAATAATTTCAAAAGGAAATTGGAAGAGCACTTGGAGGAAGTAAACCTGCAGGGCCATCATCATAAACCAGGGGAATGAGACTGACTGGACTGCTCTAAGGAGAGCCAGTAGAGACTTGATGACCCGAACATTCTCTATCAGTGCGAGAATAGTTCAATAATTCTGGAGCTGAGCCTCAGGTGAAAAGTGCGAGTTAGGAGATTCAAACACTTACCTTGTTGCCCTTTTCTCCTTCATTCCCTGGGATCCCCTGATTACCTCGTTTCCCCTTTAACAAGACAAAAGTAAACACAACTTTGGGAAAAGGTGACAAAAAGACTAAAGAAAGACGTGTTTTTCTCTAACATCTTTCGGAATCTAATGGCATCCTTAAAATGCACAAACAGCCAGTTAAATCCCTCAGAAATAAAGCCACTGAAGTGGTGGAAGCGCAGTGACACAGCAAGGTCCCCCATTTAAGAATGTGATAATGGTTGGGCTGTCTGTTGGATACTGAGAAGGATTAGTTTTCTGATGATGCCTCTGTTTCCACACAATTCTGAGGTTGTGCCTCTTGGCAGTTCACAACCGTTGCTGACAATGGCTGGGAGGATCCTTCAGTGCAGAAGATTCTCTGATCTTCAATTTTATTTCCCCACAGTATTAGAATAGGGGCCAGCTCCCACTATGTTCATCTTGGAGAACTGCCTGTAGGAGAAGGGGCAGATTGGTTTCCTCTTACCTGTCCTGGGTGTCAATTAAAATGAGCTCAGTGGGAATTCTGAGCTTTTGCTTTCCCTCACAGGCAATACGCCAGCAAAGACCCACCTGTGTAAACCAGGTCCAGTAGCCAGCACCTGATACCCAAGGACTGAGGGCTTTCGTGGAGTTGGGCAGGAGGGGCTGGGCGGTGGGAACTATCAGTTTCAGGTGACTTTTCAACTTTCATTTCAAAAGCACCTGCTGGGACAGTTTGCTCTTGTGCAGCAGCCAGGAGGGTTCAGTTTCAGGGTGACCGACAGCTCAGTGATAGGACTCTGTTATGGATTTACCTGAACACTGAGGCTGCTATTTTCCCAGGTGCGGGCTAACAGGAAGAAGCTGTCTCCTTGTGGACTTTGTGAGGAAAATGATCCTGCTAATAGGATAATAGATACAGAGTGTACAGATACACGGGGTAATAGATACAGAGTGATGCTTCCTCTACATTGTACCGGTCAAACACTCCCGGAACAAGTGCAATATGAGGTTAGATACAGAATAAAGGTCCCTCTACATAGTTCTCATCAAACAGTCCCAAGATAGGTACAGCACAGTCTAACAGATAGAGACAAAAGCTTTGTCTACGCTGTCCCCATCCAATACTCCCTGGACAGGGATAGCAGGGACAGTGCAGGGTAGTAAATAGATTAAAGCTCCCTCTATACTGTCACCATCTAACATTCCTAGGCAGGGACAGCACCAAACAGGATACAGAGTAAAGCTTTCTCTGCACTGACCGTCTCAAACACTGCCAGGACAGGTACAGCACTGGGTTAGGTACAGAATAAAGCTCTCTCTACTCTTTTAACTTGAACATAAAACAGCCTTTATTCTTTTAGATTGGAAGTAAAGCTGCCTTGACACTGTCACTCTAACCCTGCTGAGACAAGAACATCTTGGGGTTAGATGCAAAGACAATTGCGCTCTACTCTTTTAACCTGGAAGGAAATGGAAAGTAAAGCTCCCTTGACACTGTCACCATCAAACACTTCAAGGTCAGGGACAGTGTAGAGTTAGACACAGAGTGAAAACCTCTCTATTCTTTTAAACTGAAGGTTAAACCTCCTCTACTCTTGAATTGAAAGTAAAGCTCTTGCTACACTGCCCCCATCAAACAGTGCCAGGACAGGTACACCGTAAGGTAATAGATACAGACTAAGCTTCCTCTATACTGTCCCCATCTGATATTCACAGGACAGGAACAGCATGGGTTAAGGTACAGAGCAAAGCTCTCTCTACATTGTTTCCATCAAATACTCATAGACAGGTACAGCTGGGGTTAGATACAGAGTAAAGCTTCCTCTACACTGTCTCCATTAGACACTCCCAGGACAGGAATAACATGTGGTTAGGTACAAAATAGGGTTAGGTACAGCACCAGGTTAAATACAAATAAAGCTCCTCAACTCTTTTAAAGTAAAGGTAAATGGAAAGTAAAGTTTTCTCTACCTTTTTTAACCTGAAAGTAAAACTGCCTTTACTCTTTTAAAGCAAAAGCAAAGCTCCCCAAGCTTTAAAGTCCCAATCTAACACTCCCAGGTCAGGGACAGCATGGGGCTACATACAGAGTAAGGTTTCTTCCACACCAAACACTCCCAGGGCAGGGACAGCACAGGGTTAGGTTTAACATGGAGTTAGGTACAGAGTAAAGCTCTTTCTATACTGTCCCCATCAAACTCTTCCAATTTAAATATAAGGAACATAAATATTAGGTTACAATATGGGGGAATTTTCAGGAAAATGGTAAATGAGAAGTGGTTAAGGACGAAATCACTTCCATGTTAAGAGGATATAAAGAGAGCTAAACAGATATTTTATGAGTGCAGTGTGAAATAAGAAAGCATTTGAGACTGCCATGAAAGTTTTGTTTAGACCCCTTGGTAGCATCTGTCAAGATGTAGATTGCATCACTGCAGACATTAAATAAGCCACATAGTTTAAGCAGTTGTGCATAAAAAGGGAATTTAATTGCCATACAGATTTATGCAAACTATCAGAAAGGCAGTGAATTTTCTGATTGTGTCTGGGTTATTTACAGCAGCAATGTACTTAAAAGGAATATTGAGGTAGGTTTAAGAGACAATGTAACAGTTTGTGAGTATTTAGCTCATTGTCATCACAATATGATAAAATGCAATGTCTTGAATGAAGCTGAGAATTGTGAAACGCTGGAAAGATTCTAGATTTTGGTAAGCCTGATTTCAGTGAAATGAGACAGAGACTGTCTACTGTAAACTGAACAACTCTGTTAACCAAAGAAGATTGATAGGAAGTATTCAAACAAAAATTCAACATTCAAATAGGTCAACCCTAAGCAACAAAAACTCTACTTACCAGAGGTACGTTACCAAATAAAACTAAAAAGAGGAGCCTACAAAAATGCAAAAGGAACAGCAAATAGGAAAGATCTGGGACAACACAGTGTGGAGCTGGAGGAACACAGCAGGCCAGGCGGCATCAGAAGAGCAGGAAAGCTGACGTTTTGGGTCGGGACCCTTCTTCAGAAATGGAGAGGGACAATGGAGCTGGGAAATAAATAGAGAGAGGAGGGGTGGGGTTGGGGAAGGTAGGTGGGATGGTGAAAGATGAGTATAGGTAGGTAGTGGTGGGACTTGGTCAGTGAGTTGGGAGGAGCGGATAGGTAGGAGAGAAGAGGGACATGTCAAGGAGGCGGGGGTGAGAGGGAGGGTTGGCCTTGGGATAAGGCCGGGGGTGGAGAGATTTTGAAGCTGGTAAAGTCCACATTGAGACTATTGGGCTGTAGGCTCCCAAGGTGAAATATGAGGTGTTGCTCCTCCAGTTTCCAGCCTGCGTCGTTGTGACACTGGAGGAGGCTCAGGATGGACATGTCATCCAAGGTGTGGGAGAGGGAGTTGAAATAGTTCGCGACTGGAAGTTGTTGTCGTTTGTCACAAGCAGAGCGCAGGTGCTCTACAAAGTGGTCTCCGAGTCTCCGCTTGGTCTCACTGATGTAGAGGAGGCCACATCGGGAGCAGCGGATGGAGTAGACCACATTAGCGGATGTGCAGGTGAACATCTGTCTGATGTGGAAGGCTTTTTTTGGTTCCTGGGATGGGGGTGAGTGTAGAGGCAGGTGTAGCACTTCCTGCGGTTGCCGGGGGTTGTGGGGCTAGTGGGAAGTGTGGAGCAGACGAGGGAGTCGCGGAGAGAGAGATCCCTCCGGAAGGCAGATTGGGGTGCGGAGGGAAATATATCCTTTGTTGTGGGGTCAGATTGCAGGTGGCGGAAGTGGCAGAGAATGATATGTTGAATCCGGTGGTTAGTGGGTTGATACGTGTGGACAAGGGGAATTCTGTCCTTGTTTTTGTTGTGGGGAGGGGATGTGAGGGCAGAGGTGCGGGAAACACAAGAGATGTGGTTGAGAGCGTTTTCGACCACTGAAGGGAAGAAGCTGTGGTCCTTGAAATAGGAGGACATCTGGGATTTTCGGGAGTAGAACGCCTCATCTTGGGAGCAGACATGGCGGAGGCAGAGGAATTGGGAGTAGGGGATCACATTCTTGCAGGAAGATGGGTGAGAGGGGGTGTATTCTAGGTAGCTGTGGGAGTCGGTGGGCTTGAAATAGATATTGGTTTTGAGGTGGTGTCTGATGTGGAAGGGTTTTTGGGTTTCACAATGACACCACCCGGAAACTGGAGGAGCAGCACCTCATATTCCACCTTGGGAGCCTACAACCCAATGGTCTCAATGTGGACTTTCCTAGCTTCAAAGTCTCCCCACCCCCGGCCTCATCCCATGACCAACCCTCCCTCTCATTCCCGCCTCCTTGACCTGTCTGTCTTCTCTCCCACCTATCCGCTCCTCCCACCTCACTGACCAATCCCCACCACTGTCTACCTGCACTCACCTATCACCATCTCACCTACCTTCCCCAGCCCCACCCCTCCTCTCTCTGTTTACTTCAGAGCTCCCTTCCCCTCCCCTATTTCTGAAGAAGGGTCCCGACCCGAAACATCAGTTTTTCTGCTGCTCTGATGCTGCCTGGCCTGTCATGTTCCTCCAGCTCCACACTGTGTTATCTCTGACTCCAGCATCGGCAGTCCTTACTATCTTGAAGATCTGGGACAAGGTGTGTACATGGAATCAGATCAAAGGTAACTTCACTGAATGGCAGAAAAGACCAGAGGGGCTTGAACAGCCGATTCCTGATCCTTTAATCTCAGGGCTGGTGCATCATAGGTTATTGCAAAACAAATGCTTTTATGCTGGGGATTCACCATCATTTCATTTTGATCCTTAACAGCCCATAGGGAGAAGTGCCAGCATGTACACAGCTCAGTGCATTGAGATGGGAAGCTCACTGTTTCCTTCCATTGAATCCTTGTATTTCTGGTACTCACATTTAACACCACCCTGGGTGAAGGCTCAGTTTTGTGTTCTACTATGATTCTTGTGAGACAGAAGACAGCTAAGCAAGTGAGAGAAATGATGATTGTACTCACGGTTTTCCCAGTGGCTCCTGGTTTCCCGATGTTACCCTGTGAAATGGAGACTTGTCACTTGAACAGTGTATGACAACCAATGCATCCAGTTTGATTAAAGGCAAAGAGACAAAAAACCTGCAGATGCTGGAATCCAAGATAGACAAACAGGAGGCTAGAAGAACACAGCAGGCCAGGCAGCATCTGGAGGAAAGGAACAATCAACATTTTGGGTGTTACCATTCTCCAGTCCCAAAGAAGGGTAATTAATACGCGAAACGTTGACAGCTCCTTTCCTCCAGATGCTGCCTGGCTTGCTGTGTTCTTCCAGCCTCCTGTTTGTCTACCTTGGATTCCAGCATCTGCAGTTTTTTTTGTGTCTAAACGGGTTTTACCACTGCAAAGTCTTTTCAAAGGATAACCACTTTTGAAGGAGTTCTCTGCCTCCCTCAGACATGAACTCAGTGAGTCCCTTTCTCACTGCCACGCTGCTGTGATCTCTTTGGCCCTTCAACTCTTTGACCACACCATGAAACAAACCCGCTACTGCAGTCATGTGACCTTCCTCAGTTCCTGTCGTCACCACCATCTCACCCCTCAAGGCCTACAGGTACATTCTAAACCCTCAAAATGTGGACCTACCTTCGATGCTCCATACCCAGTCCTGAGGAAGAGTAATACCTGAAATGTTGATTGCTCCTTTCCTCCAGATGCTGCCTGATTAAAGGCTCTCATTTCACTACAAACTCAATGATTCTGAATTTAGTGAAACTTGGTGAGCCACAGGACTCACGTTTACACAATATTTAAACCAACCTGATGCTTTTCTCCAACCTTCCACTAATTAAGCCACAAAAGGAAGATGTTAAGTGCTTGGAAAGAACAGCACTGAAGATTTGTTACAATTTTGTTAAGAGACAAGAATTATTTCATGAAAACGTGTGATAATGTAATTGGACATCAGGAAATAACACTTACTGAAACAAAAACAGAAAAGAGGATAAAATGCAATAAGGAAATTAATAAATCAAAGGGAGGATTTAATTAGACTCTATAAGTAAAAACAATGGCGATGGGAAACTCTGGAGATGAAAACAGATGAATCTATGGGAGCAGATGGGATTCACTTCTGGATACTAAATTAAATGAAGAACTCAGAGATGTGCCAATTGTTTAATAAATGATTCCCTTGAGTTAGAAAATTGTCAACGTCACTCCATTATTTAAGAAGGTTAAGTGAGATAAACCAGACACTATATATGGGCCAATTAGTTTAACATCAGTTGTGCAGATGACACAGAAATGTACTGTTAGTGGTTGAGTTACTGGACAAATGTGACCTGATTACAGACAGCAAGCATGAACTAACAGGTAAGTCACAGCTAACAAACTTCACTGAGTTAATTCAGTGACCCACCTTTTCTCCCTTGAAGCCACGTGGACCTGGTGCTCCGGGCTGGCCCTGTACAGAGACAATTTACATTGACAGGGTGACTTATCACGTTGGCAAGATACCCCGAAGAGCAACATGGCCCGTGAATTATTTCTTGAAATGCAATCATGATTTTTAATTAATGTCCTTCAGAGAAGGAAATCTGTCATCCCCACCTGGTCTGACCTACATGTGACTCCAGGCCCACAGCAATGTGTTTGACTCTCAAATGCCCTCTGAAATAGCCTAGCAAGCCATTCAGTTGTACCAATCGCTACAAAGTCTCAAAGAAATGAAACTGGACGGATTACCTGGCATCGACCTAGGCACTGGAAAAGACAACGGCAGAAACAGCCCTGTCGACCCTGCAAAGTCCTCCTCACTAACATCTGGGGGTTAGTACCAAAATTGGGAGAGCTGTCTCACAGACTGGTCAAGAAACACAGTCACACTCATGGAATCATAACTCACAGACAATGTCACAGACATCACCATCACTATCTCTGGGTATGTCCTGTCCCACTGGCAGGGCAGACCTTGCAGAGATAGTAGCACAATAGTATACAGTTAGGAGAAAGTTGCCCTGGGAACCCTCAACATTGATTCTGAACCCCATGAAGACTCATGGCTTCAGGTTAAACATTGGCAAGGAAATCTTCTGCTGAATACCATGTACCGTCCTCCCTCAGCTAATGAATCAGAACTCCTCCATGATGAACTACACTTGGAGGAGCTGAATTCTAGACGTGAGGTGAGAGTGAGCCCTTGACATCAAGGCCACATTCGACTGAGTGTGGCATCAAGGAGCCCTGGCAATACTGGAATCAATGTGTTTCAAGGGGCAAACTCTCTGGTGATTGGAGTGACACCTGACACATAGAATTTTGTGGTTGCTGCAGGTCTGTCATCTTGGTTCCAGGACATCTCTGCAGGAGTTCCTCAGGGCAGTGTCCTAGGCCCAACCATCTTCAGCTGCTTCATCAATGACCTGCACTCCATCATCAGGTCAGAAGTGGGGATGTTTGCCAATGATTGCACACTGTTCAAAACCATTCGCAACTCCTCAGACACCGAAGCAGTCCATGTTCAAATGCAACAGAAGCTGGATAATATCCAGGCTTGGGTTGAAAAGTGTCAAGCAACATTTGCAGCATAGAAATGTCATGATCATCTCCAATAAGTGAGAGAATCTAGTTGCTGTCTCTTGACCTTCAATGCTGTTTACCATCAATAGATTCCCCTACTACAAACATTGTGGGGGTTACCATCGACTGCAAACTCAACTGGACTCACCACATAAACACTGCTAAAAGTGGTTACAAGAGCAGGTCAGAGGCTAGGAATACTGCAGCTAGTAACTCATCTCCTGTCTCCCTAAAGTTTGTCCAATATTTATAAGGCACAAGTCAGGAGTGTATGGAACACTCCCCACTTGCCTGGATGGGTGTAGCTCCAACAACACTCCAGTAACTTGACACCATCCAAGACAAAACAACCCACTTCATTGGCACCACATACACAAGCATCTACTCCCTCTGCCACCAACACTCAGTAGCAACAGCATATCTATAAAGTGCACTGCAGAAATTCGCTAAGGCTCCTTAGACAATACTTTCTAATTGCATGACCACTTCCTCCTAGAAGGACAAGGGCAGCAGATACATGGGAATACCATGACTTGCTAGGTCCCATCCGGGCCACTCACCATACTGACTTGGAAATATATTGCCATCCTTCTCTGTCTCTGGGTCAAAGCCCTGGAATACCCTCCCTCATAGCATTGTGGGTCAACCCACAGCAGGAGGACTGTAGCTGTTCAAGAAGGCAGCTCACCACCACCTTCTCAAGGGCAACTAGGGTTGGGCAAGAAATGGTGGCCAGTCAGCGAGGCCCATGTCTCATGAGTGATTTAAATAAAATGATATAATGTTGGCAGAATGTGTGCGATGCAAGATCCAATAAACCAATTCATGAATAACTATGAATCCTGAACAAAAGACAAATTTTGTTGAAGTTTTTCACTTTGCACTCATCAGGATAATTCATAAGCTTTGCAGTTAGCTGTCAGTCATCATTCACTGGTACAATCTCCATGGTGACACCTCTACCAGAATCCACTTGCTAACCAACCAGTACTATTGTCTCATACAATATAAATGTTGTTTTTGCTTTACTTTGGGGTATTTGTTGAAAATTGTACTAATGAATGTGTCAGAGAACTTACAAAATGCATTTTTTTTCCAGCAATATTTAAGTTCTGTATGACCAAATCAGTATAATCTGTTTTGATTTGATGATATAGACTGAGGGAGGCTATTGTGGTGTACTGGTAGCGTCCCTACCTCTGAGCTGGAAGCAGCTGGGTTTCAGTCCCACCTGCTCCAGAGGTGTACCATAACCTGTCCGAACCAGGTGATCAATGTTAATACTATAAGTCAAACCCCACTATTCCCACAATTGCCATAACACTTAAAGACATTTTGCAATCTGCAGAATTCCCCAGTCGATCTGTCTTTTAGCCCTTGGTTGATGTAGAGCAGGAATCAGGTTTCTCTGAATAACAAAAATTACTAGTTATTCCAAATAAATAAGATTCTAGCTGCAGGTAAACAATTATAAATCATCAACCTATAGCCCTACCAATTAAAACCCAAACCCCCTTATAAACTTCTCCATACACATACATACAGTCAGATTAAAAAAAACGTGGGTGCTATGGACAGAGGGAAGGACTGGGAAGGCAGCTCAGCTCCTGTCTACAGGATTTGCTGTGATGATCCTTTTGTTGATCAGAATTCTGCCACCCAGTCTTCATTTTCCAGATTCTATCACTTCTTTGCAGGAAGAACAAGGTGACTGCTTCACACTTACAAATGTCTCTGATTAAATAAGTCACAGCCTACAGCAACTAGAAAATGGAAATAAACTGACAATATTCAGGCTTGAGATGTTTGCTACTACAGAGTATAGACAGCTCCTTCGCCTCAAGAGGTCTGATGGTTTCCACCAAAGCATTCACAACCCCAAGCTATTCAGTTACGTAGGAGCCAATCACATAGCTGTTGACAGGCAGAAGGTCTTGTCATTGATAACTGATCACTAGTCCACAGGCCAATCAGCTACCTGTTGTCACAGAACACTCCATTCATACATTTTTGTTGGCTTCAGCTCAAAGGTTCCATGGTTGCCTGAACCAGTAGCTGTGTAAACAACATTCACAGTCAGTGTCAGGTTCCTTGCTTTTATAATAAGAAAGTGCAGAAGTCCTTCAACAATCCTTGTTCATTAAAAGTTATTTTCTCATTTCTGTCCAAGATCAAAAACATACAAAAATAAAAATATATGATCATTACATTAAAAATATCTATAATCCTTAAGAGGTTATTTCTAATGTCAGCAGCATTGATAACCTCTCTGACTCAAACTCAATTTTCTTTCATGGGATGTGGTCACTGCTGACAAAACTGGCATTTTTAGCCATTCCCTAGTTGCCCTTGAACTGAGTGACTTGCTCAACCCTTTTCTGATGTTTTCTGAGGGTCTGGAGTCACTTATGAATCAGACTGGGTAAGGATGGCAGATTTCCTTCTCTAAAGTTAACCAGATTGTCATAAAAAAAAAATCAATGATAGTCAGTGATAGCATCGCTACCAAGAGTGGCTTATAAGTTTTTATTTAATAAATTCATGCCATGGTGGGGTTTGAATTCATGTCCCCAGAGAATTAACCACGGCCTCTGGTTTACTGGTCCAGTGCCATTCACCTACTGCCTCCCCTTTACTCACAGGTGGTCCGGGTTCTTGAACTCCTGGGGGTCCTGTGTCACCTTTAGCGCCAGGTGGTCCGGGAATTCCCACAATGTTTCTGAGCTCATCAGTGAGCTGTGGACAGATCTTGCATGAGTCGCCCTGTGTTACAGAACAGACGCGAGATGCTTTACATCAGCGGCTAATCCAGTTTCTCTCCTGCCTCTCCAACAGTACAACAGGGGAATGATTTTACAATTGCTCCGCTGGCCTGTGTACAGGCATGCTGAGTACTGGTGCTCTTGGCAACACTGTGAAACTGACAGCAGTATGTGATGCCTTACAGTGGGAGCTCCTTCTCACCTCGGTTTAGGAAACTCTATCAAAGCAGTGGAGGCTGCTGGACCCTCACGAGACCAAAGTTCTCTGCTGTGGCAAGCTTTGTTTTGGTGGCAGGGATCTGACCAAATCCACACGCCTTATCCCAGGAAAATAGCTAACCCATCAAAAGGCAGCTGGAAATCTGACCCTCTCCCTACCCTGGCATCAATGATAGTGACCCCCGAATCCAGGAAAGTGATAGTTTCTGCCAGATTCTCACATGGCTGCCCTGTCCTTAAAGCAACTTCATAATGTATGGATGTTTCTCTGATTTCTGAAACCCTCTTCAAACTTAGCATGGAACCAACAGCTGCTTTGTGTATTGGCTGGAATTATTTGCCAACACATCATTTTTCCTGCCATGATACAGAATCAGTCAACACACTTTTGACCTATGATAAATTACCACTTAGACTTGATGGGTATTTCCCTGATACCTGTGCTCACATCAACTATTTGAAGTGTAACCAGATGAGGTTAGCTGCTTAATCTGTGTGGAACTGGTTTAACAGGTCACCTGAAAACATCAATTTTCTGATCAATTCAAGCCACAACGAATCTAACAAAAAATCCCAAAGCACATTCAAACCATATCAGGGTTATTTGACGGAATGGGTTACCTTGGCCTTACAAGAGCTGATTTCAGATTGCAGCAGGTCTTGCCTGCCCCTGAATTTGTATTCATAAGATCATAAAATAAAATCATAGAATCGCTAGTGTGGAAGCAGACCCTTCTAGCAGCATTCCCCTCCCATCAAATCCCTGTAATCCTGCATTTCCCATTCTATAAAAAGAAAATCAGAGACCTTGCAAAATGGCTCTCCATTTCTAAGGATGATGTTGGAACTGAGAGGTTTTGACTCACAGAACCCCTATAGTGTGGAAGCAGGCTATTCAGCCCATCAAGTCCACACTAACCCCCCAAAGAGCATCCCAGCCAGACCTTGCCCCATCCCTGTAACTCTGCATTTCCCATGGCTAAGCCACCTACTCTGCACATCCCTGGACACTATTGGGCAATTTAGCATGGCCAATCCACATAACCTGTACATCTCTAGACTGGGGGAGAAAACCCACACAGACTCAGGGAGAATGTATAAACTCCACACAGGCAATCACCCGAGGATGGAATTGAACCTGGGTTCCCGAAACCGTGAGGCAGCAGCGCTAACCACTGAGCCACCGTACTGCCCTGGCTGCTTAATGAGTAATTGCTCCTTTAAAAAGATAGAATTGTGGGTGGCCTCTTTTACATATTGTGAATGGTTCAGTAAAGTATACCCGGGACCTGGATTTGGCGATCTGAAACATGGAATCACAAAAACAGGCCATTTAGCCTATTGAGCATTAAGTGGTCTAATTAATTCCAAGTCCCTGTACATTCCACATAGCCCTGCAAATGTTTCCCAGTTATCTGCATTTACCCAATTCCCTTTAGAAAGTTACTATTGGAACTGCTTGCACCATCCTTTCAGGCAATGTATTCTACGTCATAACAGCTCGTTGTATCCAAATAATTCTCTTCATTGCTCCCCTGGTATTTTTGTTAACTATCTCGGCCAAACTTACAATGTGAGCAAGGGAAGCACGTGTTTCTGTTTGTGTAAAAGAAATTAACATTTACTATGACGGACGATTAGGCTAGAATTCTCAGCTTTTAACAGTTAATGAGCTCACCTTCTCTCCCTTCAGACCAGGATCTCCTGTATCTCCCTGAATAGAATTTAAACAAAGATTTATCAGATAAAGAACACATATTGTTTTATAAGATTATAGTGTCTGGGACAGAGTCCAAATTAAAAAATAACCAACTGTCCAAGCACTCACCACAGTTATTTTTAAACTGGAAAATCACCAGGACAGCAGCGAGTTCTGCTCCCAGAGCTCAGAGATGATGCCACGTCTTGTCCATATTGTGGGATATGGGGTCAGCAGAAAAATGTCACAAAAAGAAGCTGGACTAAGGGTGGTCGAAGACAGGCTATTTGGAGCACTGAATGACCTATGCATCTAACCTCTATTTCAATGCCATCTGACCTCTGACCCCAAAAAATACCATACACCAGCCAACCCTTGATCCTTAAGTACCCCACTAACCTCCTAATACATGATACTGATCCAGTCTGGATTGTTTAGCATCTTACCTTCTCACCCGGTGTTCCCGGAGGTCCAGACATGCCCTACATTTGCAAACGAAAACAGACTTAGATATCATGTAATACCTGTTGGTGCAAACCACTTACAGACAAGGCAATCAGTCCATCTGAATCTTGTGACAGCTGAACACCTTCATGTACATTCCTGAGAGCATTGGTATCCAGACAGAAACATGCAGCAACTAATACTGCCACTCCTCACTCTCCCCAACAGTTTATACCCTGACTGTGGGTGAACTGCAGCTGATTAATGATGACATTTAGTGCTGCTAAAACAGAAACACGAAAGCTTGCTAAGGTTTCAGAAAGGAGAAAGAATGATTAAGGGGTGCATATCCCACTGTATGATCGGCATTATCTCCAAAACTGGCATTATTTTGCATAGTCAGAAAGGTTTGCTTTCAAGATTTGATCACTTTGGAACAGTTGCCAGGGCAAGTTAAAAAAAAAACTTTCGCTTCCCTTTAAAGCTAATTCAGCCTCTTAGGGATATGGGTTTTCAAACTCCACTGTTTCTCTGGACTCCAAAAGCTTCATCTCTCCCAGGAACAGCCTTTCTTCAAGGGGCTGCAAATAGTTTGTCTCTCACCAGGATACAACTTTTTCTGTCCATAAATCTACAAGACTTCCCCAAAACTGCCCACTGGTCATCACCAAATGTGAAAAAGAGCTCACACAAATTTCTATAATTCACAACAGTTGTGAACAGGCTGAGAATTTACAACTAAAATCTTAAACAAAGCAAGGACATATTTCTGGTGTTTCATGTTAACATTTGAAAAAAGTTTTTTTTAAATAAAACCTCATTATTGATTCCTGTGCTTTGCTTCCTAAATCTCTGAATTCATTTTTTAAATATTAGAATACATTGCGTTAAAAATGGAAAAACTTCGCAGTTATATTTATGTTAATACACACTTCCTAAAATGCAGAAGCAGTGCTTTCAATCTTCAATCTTTATGCACAAAGATGGTTCTAAAGAAGGCACTTATTTCTTATGCCATTTCCATTTCTTTAGGCTGGTTTATACATTCTACACCTTCAATGTGGTTCATGGGAAATCCCAGCATAACTCATTAATTTACACTTCTGGAAATTGCAGACCGGCCAATATGTTTGATCCAATGGTATACTACATACCGAGTTCTGAACTCAAGCTGGCAGGTCAGCCAAGTGCAATCAACATGGACTACCTAGTGACAGAGCAAAGTAAGATTCCAGGATTGTGATTAGCAACATTAGCTATGTAAATTAAAGATAGGGAAAGGGCCGTGATTTCCTTTCTCATTGATTCTTGGGAGGTCACTTTCATTGGCATAAAATGATTGCCTATCCCTAATTCTCCTTCAGAACTGGTGGAAATTCATCAATGAGTTGTCAAAGATATTAAATACCAAGCAAGGTTTCTATTTATTCATAATAAACACCGAAAGAACTGCTGATGCTGTGAATCAGGAACAAAAACAGAAGTTGCTGTAAAAGCTCAGCAGGTAGGTCAGCATCTGTGAAGATAAAATTCAGAGTTAATGTTTTAGGTCTGATGACTCCTGTTTTTGTTCTGTTTATTCATTCATAGGATATGAACTGCTGGTTGGACCAGCGTTTATTGCCCATCCCTAGTTATCAGTGAGAAGGTGGTGGTGAGCTGCCTTCTTCAACCGTTGCTGTCCAAGTGCTGTAGTTAGATCCACAATATTGTGAGAGAGGAATTTCCAGGATTCTGGCCCAGTGATACTGAGGAAACAGCGACATATTTCCACGGTAGGATGGTGAGTGGCTTGGAGAGGAATTTGCAGGGGGTGGTCTTCCCATGTATCTTTGTCTTTGTCCTTCTAGATGGTAGAGGTCATGGGCTTGGAGGGTGCTATCAAAGGAGCCTCGGTGAGTTGCTGCAGTGCATCATGTAAATGGTACACACTGCTTAGTTAGTAGCGAGGAAGTGAGTGTCGGAGGTGGTAGATAGGTTGCCAATCAAGTGGGCTGCTTTGTATCAGATGGTGTTGAGTTTCTTGAATGTTACTGAAGCTGCACATTCTGGACCTATGTGTTGAAAAGATGGTGGGGGCAGGCTTTGTGGAGACGCGAGGTGAGTTGCTTGTCACAAATTCCAAGCTTCTGAAGATAAAATCCAAACGAACTGTGGATGCTGTGAATCAGGAACAAAAACAGAAGATGCTAGAAAAGCTCAGGTCTGGAAGCATCTGTGAAGAGAAAATCAGAGTTAACGATTGGTTCTGAAGTAGGGTCACTGGACCCGAAATGTTAACTCTGATTTTCTCTTCACAGATGCTGCCTGGTGAGCTTTTCCAGCAACTTCTGTTTTTGTTCCAAGCTTCTGAGCTGGTCTTGTAGCCACAGTATTGATATGGCTAGTCCAGTTCAGTTTCTGGTCGATGATAACCTCCAGGATGGGGATGGTGATATCAAGGAGTGAAAAGATAAGAAAATCTCAAAGATGATATACAGAAGTAGGTTTTAAAGATTTCCCAGCTGCGTATACAAAGCTGTCAATCTGTTTCCGACCATCATAGAACCTAAAGTGAACAAGTTCAGAACATCCAAAGATTAATGCAAAGTTAAAACAAATTGAAGAAACTGGCTCACAAGAGCCTGTAATTCAGCACCGTCTTTGGAGTCTCACTCAGAAGATTTTGCTTGGATCAGCATTCAGCTAAATCTGGAATATAAATAATGAAAAATAAAAAAAAAGAAAATTGCTGGCCTCACGAGCGATTTCTGCTTCACTTCAATGCAGCCAGTTTCAACTTGCCAAAAACATTGCATCAGAACCTCCTTCTGGAGCAGACAAAAATAAATTTTGGAACATTTCCAGTTCAGGCTTGTTTCATGTTGCACTTGACAATCCTGCTATTTATTTATCTCTCCTTTTCCATACAATATGCAATTCCAAACCCACAAGCCTCCACCATAACTGTCCACCTCATATCCAACATCAGAGAGGCACCTGGCTTGGAAATCTCTGCACTGACATTCTCAAAGTTAACTATTAATGCAGATTAAAACAAAATGGCTTTCCTCAGTTGAAAGATGACATCTTTCCCTCTCTCTGAGGAAGTATCTTGCTCCTGCTTATCTAATCCCCAAAATGACCCAGGTGAGAGCAAAGCTCCACTGTGGGAGTCAAAACTGTAAGATCATCACCAACACATCCAACAAGGAAATTAGAGCTTTTTTTCTCACCCAAAGAGTTGTGAGAAAGTGGAGCACACTATTTGACAAGGTAACTGAGCTGAATAGTGAGGAAGCTCGATAAAAACATGAATTAGCAAGGTATTTGTATTTGGGTTAGCTGAAATGGGTGGGAGAAGGCTGCTGAGCACTGTAGCATGGACTTTTGGGGCAAATGATCAGTTTCTGTGCTGGTATATCATAGAATCATACAAAACAGAAGAGACCCTTCAGCCCATTGACTTTGTTACGAAGTTGGGTAGAGTATTCATGAATTGGAAGGCAGGAAGTTAGAATTGTAGGTTAAAATAAATGACAGTGGGAAAGAAGAGTACCTGGTCTCTTTAAGAGATTGTGCTTTGTCTGTGCTTTTACAAGTACTGTGCACAGAGAGTGCCCGAATTGAAACATTTTGTATTGAGCAGCCAAGCTGCTTTTTACTGAGACAACAAGTTTGAATTTGGCCAATAAATTTCAACGAAGCACTCAGCAATTCAAAGCCAATTGAATTGAAAAAACTGATGGTGTTGACATCCTGAAACCAATCATAGTATAAAAATTTGATGTGTTGTAGGGGATATATAAGAAAGGATTTTTGACAATCAGGAGAGACCCAACTGTCAACTGCCAAGAGACAACACTTTTTTTTTGCTCTCAGAGAAAGCAACATTTAATTAAAACAGCTAAATGTCCTCACAGGAGCAATTACAGAGAAAAACATCCCTGACAGCAGAATCAGTGGCCGAAAGACATTTGTGATGTGAGATCAACAGAAGAAAGGCTGGAGAAAGCAGAGAGTTCCAGAAGACAGTCTGTATGAACTTGGAGAGATTAAGTTTTAATTTATTGTTGTCTTATTAATTGGGTTTATATAAGTGGGACTTGTGTTTATTTGAACAGCATTCCAGTAGAATTTAGTTCAATTAAGGATTAGTTAGTAGTCGAAGGGGGAATTGATTGGTTTGTTAGTAATTCTGTAAATTTGGTCATTGATAGAGCTACATAAATAATATGTTACTTGTTATTTATAAAGTTAATCAGGGATTTTCTTTCTTTTAACCACTCTTTTAACAGGTTATGAGGGGAAAGACAATCTTCTCTGGGTGTTTTGGGGGTATTTATTAGAAGAGAACCTCTACTCCAGTCATAACAGATTTGGGCTTGTGTTTTGGTTTAATTATCAGAGGGGTTCGGCCATTCCCCCCCTGTAACAAATCTATATGCTAAAAATACACTAGTACCTACACTAGTCCCATTTGCCCTGACGAGGCTCATAGCCTTGAATGTTGTAACATTTCCAAGTCATTCACTCTGCAGTCCTGCTACATCCAGTCATGAATGGTGGTGGACAATTAAACAACTCACTGGAGGAGGAGGATCCACAAATATCCCCATCCTCAATGATGGAAGAGCCCAGTACATCAGTGCGAAAGATAAGGCTGAAGTATTCACAGCAATTTTCTGCTAGAAGTGCCAAGTGGATGATCTATCTCGGCCTCCTCCAGTGATCCCCAGCGTTACAGGTACCAGTCTTCAGCCAATTTGATTCACTCCACGTGATATCAAGAAACAGTTGGAGACACTGGATACTGCAAAGGCTACGGGCCCTGACAACATTTCGGCATTAGTACTGAAGACTTGTGCTCCAGAACTTGCCGCTCCCCTAGCCAAGCTGTTCCAGTACAGTTACAACACTGGTATCTACCCGACAATGTGGAAAATTGCCCAAGTATGTCCTGTACACAAAAAGCAGGACAAATCCAACCTGGCCAATTACTGCCCCATCAGTCTCCTCTCGATCATCAGGAAAGAGATGGAAGGTGCCACCAACAGTG